TGGATCCATGCCTAAAGCACACGAAGTGAACAGAGCTACAAGAAAGGCTCAGCACTGCTTACAAACAACTTCCTAGGCACAACTCAGGAAGGTCTGACACTCTTGGTTGGGTTGATGACAAGACTGACACTGATCTCTTCAATAACAGAAGGCAGAACAAATTCCTTACTGGAAGCACTGTGGAATGAGACGCCCTCAGCACGGCAGTGTCTGCTCCATGGTACAAAAGAAACACAGCCCTACTGGTGTATCTTTAAACCTTCCCTTTTTTTCCAGCAAAATGCAATCCTGTTATCACATAATTGGTTTCAGGATATGATTATAAGCAGATGTTCTGGATGTAAGAGATCTTTATTAAAATATCTTTATTATAACAATTTCTTTATGATGAGATTTTGTATCCCCCAAAGAGAAACTTCAGAGAACACAGTCCATCTATTTCCACTTAGCAGCAATCCTTCTTTACAACTGAATCATGCTTAACAGACTGATGATAGCTACTTTCCATTCGAAGGTTGTCTCATACCCATTTCTCATTCTGCACAGCTGCTCAGATACCATATCCATCATTGCTCCTTCCTTTTTAGTGTGCTTGGTTTTAGCCTAAGATAAAACCCTGTCATAAAAACAATCGTGTCATGACAGTTGTCAAGAAGCAAAGTCCCTGATTACAGAGCAGCAGCAAAGACTTGGGTAAATACAGTCTTATAGCACTGTAATCAACTGTTAATGATTCTGTTGGGCATTTTCAATATGTGACACTGAAGCAAACATAGGGGTGGAGAATCTGTCCAAGAGAAAGATGGTGAGTCTCTATGGGAAGACTGCAAGAGGAAGCAGAGGGGATTAGGAACCATGAATGTAAAGAAGCATATAAAGGGATGTATTCAATCACCGACCATGAGAAAGTAATTACTCAACTGATCTTCAAGGTTAAAGCTGCTTTCATTTAAGCTCTGAACAGTCAGGAGCATTGTTACTTACCAGCTGTATTTCAACTGCTGTCACAGGCCTGTGGTTCAGCAACTGCAGCTTTTCAGCCCTGCGTGCAAACAAAGTGTCAAACAATCCGTGTTACCATACAATTTGAGGATCCCCCAAATCGACTGTTAAAATACAAACACATTCCTGATAATTTAAGGATGAAAAGCCACCGCCAAGGGTAATTGTGACAGAGTTTGTGGTGTGGTTTAGTACCTTAATTGCCACGACAATTCAGGCATTTTAAGTACAGTCATTCCTTGTGTGTCTAGACACATTGTTGTTGCCACCTACCACTAATTTAGCAAGGCAGAAGCCCCTAGATCACATACTTGCCAGTACAATCTTTAATAAACACACAGTTACTTCTCTGTTAATTGCTGCACAACAATGCTGAACAATTTGTCAAAGATCACAGCAGCTTTCGCTGTAACAAATGACCACAAGCACTATTATCATACCTAAGAAGTCACAGCCCAGCAGTCAAATGGCAGTAATTTATTTATTCCTTTAGCACGATGAAATTGCAAAGGTGAAAAAAAAAAACAACTTGTAACTACATGTACTGTCTGCAATCCACAAAGCTCAGGCCAGTGCACTTTTTCTATTACAATGGGCAAATGCCAATACTTCTGCACTTATGCCTTTGGACAGAAGCATAGGGGAAAAAAAGAAAAGTCAGTAAGAAATCATCAGTTTGATGTTGATATTTAAACACAAAATGTTGTAATATTGAGGGAGAAAGCTGAGCACCACTGAAACCAGCAGCAGAATTCCTGGTACCATCCAGAACCATGATTATGTTCATCCAGCCTCACTATTTTCTGGCTTCTTTTTGGCCAAACAGCCATTAGCTCTGCTTCTGCATCAAGGAATCTCATGGATATCATCTGGAACACCCTGGTCATTAAAAACAGGTACAAGGAGAACATGCCATTGGCATTTAAAAATCTTTTT